ATTTTAAAAAATGAGCAGCCGCGTTCCCCATTCTTATTCATTTTAGCCTTGCTTTCTCTTTTTAAATTTTCACTGAAGTGTAATATACATACACTTCATCCGTCCTAATTGTGTATCCATCATAATTGTGCAGCTTGATGAATTTTAACAAGCTGAACACTCCCGGTGAAACAAGAACCCAGATCAATAAACAGAAAGTTACCAGCACTCAAGAAGCACTCTCATGCTTCTTCCAGTCATTAACTTCCCACATCCCCAAGAGTGAAATCCATCCTCATCCCCAAGAGTGAAATCCATCCTCACTTCCAACACCAAGCTAGATGACTTCAGCTTGGTTTTGGCTTTTACATAAGCAGATTCATACAATATGCACTCTTTTGCGCCTCGCCATCCCTTTATTGCCTGGGGAAATGGGTCTTTATGTAACGACAGAGCACCAAAATTTCATGCTGGTAACTTGGGCAGTATGCAAGGAAAGCAAAGGAAACCCTGAGGCTGTGTTATAGGAAGACTTTGTGTTAAACTTGGTCTTTTTTTTTTTTTTTTTTGGCAGTACGCGGGCCTCTCACTGTTGTGGCCTCTCCCATTGCGGAGCACAGGCTCCGGACACACAGGCTCAGCGGCCATGGCTCACGGGCCCAGCCACTCCACGGCATGTGGGATCTTCCCCGACCGGGGCACGAACCCGCGTCCCCTGCATCGGCAGGCGGACTCTCAACCACTGTGCCACCAGGGAAGCCCTTGGTCTTTTTTTTAAAACACAGATTAAGGTTGTTAGAACCAGTTTAAAAGTTCAAGCTACCCAAGAGACACGTGAGTCCAGCTAGTTGAAAACCTATGACTCGAGCTACAGCTGTGTGTTAGCAGCTCCCCGTATTTGGATGTAGACTAAGACAGAGGGATCAATTCTCCCTGAAAGGCAGGCAGGGACTGGCTACGGGGGCAGAAGGCAGTGCAGACTTGTTGGCACAGGCAGAGTAGTTGCCGTGGAATTTAAAGACACCATTAGTACAGCCACAAGGTCCCAAACCCTCTGTAGCTGAGGCCCCTAATGCTTGTGGGATCATGAAAATTAAAACAGTCTTGCTGGCAGAATCTTAGTAACTGTCTGCTCTTGGCATATGAGTCAGTTAACGTCCTAGTCCGGATTGACCCAGAGTAAGAGGTTCCCGGCACCTCCCAATAAAACTCAATATGACAGGAGAGAATCAAGGGAGCGGGGATGAAAACAGGTTTTTCAGAAGAAGCAGAACAAACCAACTGGCTGTGAGCACCCTGCGTCTTTTTCTTAGGTGGTCACTTTCCATCTTCTCCAGGCATTTTCTGGTCCTTAGCACACATAAACACTGAACAATCTAGAATTCACTGGACATCTTAGAAGTTAGGGCCCACCTTGCATCACTCAGGCAGCCAGCAATTCCCCAAGGTGACAATTCTCCTTAACATCAGCCAGGAGAAAGACAGGATGCCTGAGGATTAGGACTAGGTGGTCTGTTCACTAAAGGAGGAAAGAGACTAGGTAGTTAAAGGTATCCAGTCCTGGATCAGCCGTAGCTTTGAACTAGAGGTGGTTATATGGAGAGTCCAGAATACCTCCCAAATTCACTGGAGCCATTGACAACTTATCCTCACTACTATCATTCTAATAGTAGCTAACAATTATTGAGCTAATGTTACATGTTAATTATTTCATTTAGCCCTAAAAACAGCCCCACGAGATAGGTGCTAATTTTGTCTCCATTTTACACATGTGTAAAACGAGGCAGAGAGTGGGCCATATGCTAAGGCCAGGAAGTAGATTCCTACATTTGCTTGACGACAGAGCCCACATTGTAAAACAGTGGCTTTCAAGCCTTTTCTTTTTTTTTACCATGACCCAGAAAGAAATTATTTTACACTGTAACCCAGAACATACATGCATACACACATAAATACACATGAAAAAAGTTTTAGAAAATCATATTCACCCTTACTCCATGCCTTAGATCATTGTTTTGATATTTACTAATATATTTTAAACTTTTCTATTTCCTTTTAAGATGCTCATTACAACTCACTCACATATTTCATGACACATGAATAGCTTGCGATCTGCAGTTAGAAAAACACTGTCTAAAGCATTATGCTGTACTGCTTTCCCAGGCTCTTCTTATTTAATTCTCTAGGAATGGACTTTACAACCACATGGTTAAATTTACCACCAGTGGTGTGCTGCTAAATGTTTAACAACTAGATCTTTGGGACTTGTGAAGGGACTGGTCATTAACATTTGCTGATTTCTGCACCGTGGCCAATTTGAAGCTATCAACATGACATCGCTGAACACGGACTGGGGAAGAAATATGGATGAGTGGCTCATGAGAGCTCATACCAACCAACTAAAGCACACCAATACACTTCCCCAAAATTTCCAGCAAGAACTGAGAAAATAGGTTTTAAAGTCATGTCAGTGACTGGAAGGGTTGGAGATGATTTGTCAATGATAATTAATTGCCTATTTCATGGCAATTAGTCTAAGCCCACAACCCCACAGTGTCTAATATATAAATCCAAGTTGTTTCTATTTGAGCATGGGGTTCTTAGCTGTTATAATTTGAAGAATATTAATCAGGCCCTGACACTTCATTGTCTGTACACTGAGGTATCTAAAATTCCATGATTAAAAATGTTTCTCCTTTTTTAAGCCAATGTTTTGGCCCATTTAAAACTCTGACCATTCCTAAATAGGTAACAAAGTAACTTACATTAATGTGCTAAAAACCGATGGCTTAATATATCAGATGACTTTATTTGTGATAAGTAAGAGAAGTGAGAAAATGGGAATTCTGATAAGGGTATGAAGGAATGGATGGCTTTGGAGTAGTTGCATTTCTAGGAAAACCCATCATAAATAGGGTAACACAATGGAAACCATCACAAACCCTGGTACCATCTGAGATGCAGGACAGCATCAGGCATCTGTGGAAGGGCATAACTGAGTAGGAGGAAAGTTACAGGATTAAATAAAATAATCTATTTAGAACATTATAGTTTCTGGCACACAGTAGTGGCTCAATAAATTTTAGTATCTTTAAGGGAGGGTCTATTCAGGAATCATTTAATGAAAAGTGACATAAAACAGATTCCAAACTGACATAAGCAAAGAGGAATTTATCACACATAACTGGGAAATCTGAGCTGAATTAAATAGCATGTACAATACTGTCAGGTCTCACTACTTCTCCATCTCTTGGCTTTGCATCTCAGATAGACTCTTGCCTCATCGTGGTATGGTGGCTGCCAGCAGCTCCAGGCTTACATCCATTCCTCTACGTCACTCTGACAGAAAGAGGATGCTTTTCTCCTGGTGGTTCTAGAAAATGTTCTCACATGAACCCTGGTTAGCAATGATTTGGTCACAGGCTCATTCTGGAATGAACTGCTGTGGTCAGGTACATATCACACTCTGGTTAGTCGTGTGTGTCACAAGCCACCTAGCAAGCCAGGAATGGATTCACCTTGCTTTATGAACATAAGTGTTGGTTCCCAAAGGAAAACTGTGGTATGGTTTCCAGAAAAATTGGAAATGGATGTTAATCCATCAACCCACAAGGACAAATCCAGTTTTGTTCAAGCTGATAAGAATTCTGTTTAAAACTGAAACATTCCCCAAATTTCCAACATCTTATTCAGCAAGTCAATTCAGGGGTGATATGCAAAAAGTTTAACAACTGGCATCAAGTTAAGAAAATGAACAGCAACCACAACTCTTGGAGCTGGAACCTAAAGACCCGACTCTGCCAGAATTGAACACTTTTCTAGCTGGGCCATGAAGGAATTGAGGGAGGCAGTGGGGGAATGAAAGTAGTCAGGGAAGTGGAGGAATATTCAAAGGGCTTGGTAGCTTGACTATTCACCACCTGGATGAAAGTACTTCAATATTTTAACAACTAGAACAACTATACCAGTGTGTACCACCAGGGCTTCAACCTTGACTGAATCTATTTGCAGCTATATCATAAAGAAGAACGTGCTGTCAGCTATGACCCATCTTACATTCAGAAGCACCGCCTCTGAATTAAGAGACTGTTCTTTTAGCAGAACAACAGAAGGGGCAAAAAGGTTTTCCACTAACAAGATGTAGGATAACTACTGGGCATATATCCTGAGAAAACCATACTTCAAAGAGACATGTACCACAATGTTCACTGCAGCTCTATCTACAATAGTCAGGACATAGAAGCAACCTAAGTGTCCACCAACAGATGAACGCATAAAGAAGATGTGGCACATATATACAGTGGAATATTACTCAGCCATAAAAAGAAACGAAACTGAGTTATCTGTAGTGAGGTGGATGGACTTAGAGTCTGTCCTACAGAGTGAAGTAAGTCAGAAAGAGAAAAACAAATACCATATGCTAACACATATATATGGAATCTAAAAAAAAATGGTTCTGAAGAACCTAGGGGCAGGACAGGAATAAAGACACAGACATAGAGAATGGACTTGAGGACACAGGGAGGGGGAAGGGTAAACTGGGACGAAGTGACAGAATGGCATGGACTTATACACACTACCAAATGTAAAACAGACAGCTAGTGGGAAGCAGCCGCATAGCACAGGGAGATCAGCTCGGTGCTTTGTGACCACCTAGAGGGGTGGGATAGGGAGGGTGGGAGGGAAACACGAGAGTGGGGGGATATGGGGATATATGTATATGTATAGCTGATTCACTTTGTTATAAAGCAGAAACTAACACACCATTGTAAAGCAATTATACTCCGATAAAGATGTTAAAAAAAAAAGATCGAGGATAAATGCAAACATATACACACAGGGAGAAGTAAAATCAGACTACAAGATAAACCAAATAATATTGGAATTCATCTTTTCTTACCATTTTCTTACCATTTTTTAATTTGTGACAAATATAATTTTCATGAACTCATCGTGACGACACCTCATAGTTAGACTTATTCTTCTACATTAAACCACGTATTTACCATTTCTGGTGCTCTTCATTCTTTCCTGTTGATTTGATTTTCCATCTGGTGCCATTTCCTCTTCCTTTGAAGTAATCCCTTTAGCATTTCTCTTCTGTAAGTCTGCCGGCAGTGAAATCTCTCAGTTTTAGTTGCCTGGAAAAAAGTTTTTATTTTACCTTCATTCTTGAAGTATATTTGAACTAGAAGTAGAATTCTGGGATACTTAACCAGTTTTCTCCCAGAACTTTAAAGATTCCATTGCATCATGGCCACCATTGTTTCTGATGAAAGTGATCCCTCATTCATATTGTTACCCACTAACTGGGCTGTTCCACGACGTTTTCAAAGTTTTCGCTTTATTTTTGGTTTTATCAATTTGGCAGTGATTTGCCTACGTGGGTTTTATTTGTATTTATCCTGCTTAGGGTTTGCTGAGCTTATTGGTTTTATAATCTTATGTTTATCACCAAATTGGGGGAATAATTGGGGGAATTATTTCCTCAAGTATTTTTTTCTTCTTCTTCCTCCTCTACTTATGAAACTCAGATTATACCTGTGTTAGACCACTTACTATTCAAAAGAACTCTGAAGCTTTAAATTTTTTTCAGTGTTTTTTCTATTAGGTCAGATTAGATAATTACTTTTCATCGATCTTCAAGTTTACTGACTATTTTGCCATCTCCAATCTGTTGTGCTCCCCTACATACACCCAATGAAGTTTTTATTTTAGATATTTACTAGATAATTAAATATTTATTTTGGATATTTCCTTTTGTGTTCTAAACTTTCTGCAGCTTTTTTTCATAGTTTCAATTCTCTGCTGAGATTCCTCATCTACTCATTCATTTTTTTGAAGTCTTTGAACAAATTTATCTTTATAATAGACTATTTAAAGTCCTTATCTGCTAAGTTTTGGGACCTTTTTCTAATGAAGGATTTCTCTCTTTACTTCAGGTCCCATTTTCCTGTTTTCTTACATGTCAAGTGATTTTTGGTTGTATACTGTGGAATTATATTGCAGGCAGGCTCAAGTATGTCAACTTCCTTTAAGAGCTTTCAGTTTTGCCTTAGCAGGTACTGAAATAACTGTGGATCATTTTAGCTGTGTTAAGTTTAGTTTTATTCTTTGTTAAGGCAGGTGTATTTTGGATGTAGTCCTAGGGCATGCCCCTTATTCCAGAGCTTGATTCTTACTCATGGAGGGTAAACTTTCTGGGAATTTTATTGAAAGTGCAATAATGCCCAGTGTGTTCTCTCTACTCCATCTGGGCTGGAACTCCAATACCTCTCTGTATGCATGACCTCTGATATAGATATTTCCCTCTCAACCCTGTTGCAGGAAAATGATCTCTGCCAGGCCTCACTGAGTCTCACTCTGTGTATAACCAGCCTAACCCTTGCACAACACAGACCTTAGGCTCACCATTTCCATGTGGCTCTCTGCCCCACAAATTGCAACCACTTCAAAAGCCAAGAACTCTAGTCTCTGCCTCTGGAGGCCAATAGGGCTGCCACTGCACCATGGCAGAAAAGCACTCCCAAGCAGCATGTTGGGGAATAGGGTAATCATGGCACTTGCCTTGTGTGATTCTTTTTCTCAAAGATCATAGTTTGCCTTGTATGTTTTGTCCAGCTTTATAGCTATTTTCAGCAGGAGGGCAAATCTAATACCAGATATTATGACATGGCCAGATGCAGAAGCTGGCTACAGATACTCTAAAGAGTTCATTTAGCACCAGGCAAAGATAGTGCTGTTTCAAACATTTTACCATTTACATACTGAGGAGAATTTGATAGATGGGGGTGAGATTTTTGCAGAAACATGTGTGATATGCATTCTCTTTTGTAAGACCTGATTGGACAGTAATTATTAAAGTCTTCTTAAGTCCTAATTCTGTATTTACTTTTCACTACTATCTTGAGTAATTTGCCCTACTTTCTCTCTCTCTCTACTCAGGAAGCAATAAGAGTTAATTCATTGTGCAAAACACTTTGACATTATTCAAGAGGAAGGACAGTATACACACAGGACATTACTAATAATATACACTTGATGGATCATATTGTTAATAGGTAAAAATGTTCTCCCGTGAATAATATTCCTCCATTTCTTCCCCTTCACTATTTTGTCCAGAGCTAGAAGGAAAGCTTTTGACAAACCCAGTTTCTGTACTCTCTGTTCACACTGACAAACCTGTAATTTCTAGTAGACTTGGCAGCTTCTAAGAGGAAAAGGACAAAGGTGCACTGCAGGGGCTTTGGGGAGGCTCCAATTCCAAGGCTGGTAATGGGGTTAGGAAACTTGAGGATGAAAAAACAGCTGAAATAACAACACACACACACACACACACGCACGCACGCACGAAAATAATCCACCCTTTGATATTTACAAAAATAAAGATTGACTTTGAAGGGAAATAAATGAATCTTTAATATAATATATATTGAATGACCAACCCAAGTTAATATTATTGTTTAAGTAAATTACCAGCAATTACCCTAAGGACCAAAGTTTAGCATAACTGTCAACGTTTTCCTACCTCATAAAGACACTTCCCCCTAAATTCAGAAGATAAAGGAAATTGGAGACCTGATGTTTTGTGAGGTGGGGAGGGTTGTCCAAGGCCATTTAGTGAAGTAGGCATGTCTCCTTTAGGCAGCATCAGCATCGCTTTCTGGCTCCATCATCCCAGTTGGTAGTGTCCCCCTCTTCACTGTAGTCACGTAGGGTTCCTGGGCTTCTTTAATCTTCTCTATGAAAAAAACAGGCTCACAGGAAAGGGTCTGATCAATTTGTTCCCAGTTCTCGACTTAAGTTTTTGGTTATTTGAAATCTTTTATTTATGGTGGGATTTCAAGCTTCCTCAAACTAGAGCAACTTGAGAGAAAGCAGAACTATCCTCCCTAACTTCAAATCTTAATACATAGGCCTGGCCTCCACTCTTCTGCCTTGTCATTCATACTTTCATGGAACATAACCTGTTAGTTGGTGTGCTCTTTTCCATTCCTCCTAATCTCTCTCAGAGGGACAATGCATTTCCTAATCTTTCTAATTTCTCCAAGTGCTCTCAACTTTTCCAATTTTACTTTATTTTTTTCCTTAAAAATCAGCAATTTAAAGGAAAGACCAGAGCTACTGAGGCCAAATTTCTCTAGTGCCAAAGTTGAATCTTGACCTATGATAGCATCATTATGAACAAAAATAAAACAGATCTTTTCAGCTATCTTCTTTATTCTCTGAATGGAATTTCCAAATCATCTTGCCAGTCTTCTGATCAATCTCTCAAAAACTTAGATGCTATTTAGAATTTATCATTTGGCAATAATGTACGTTAGTTGCTGTGGAAAATACAACATTGTCTAAGGCACTGACCTTGATATCCAGTAGCTTACAATCTACTGAGGAAAGAAGAACAAATTCCAATTGTTAGATTTCAATTTTAAATAACTATGTAAATAAATAGAAAACAAAATATGATCATCATAATAAACATAGCACAAACTATAAGGAAATTAAGCAAATGGAATTAGGCCACCTTACAGCTGAAGTAATACAGAAGGCTTACAAGGAATAGAAATTTTAAGCTAGATCTGCTAAGAATGATTGCATATTAAGTAGTCAGTTTCTCATAATAATTTCTTAAACGAAGCAGAATGGTTCAGTGATACACCCTGCTATTAAAAACACCAGTATGGCTACAGCCTCTGTTTACCCATTTGAAAATGGTAGTCTAAGAACAAAGGCCATGTCTCTTGTTGCCTACAATTCTGGCAGCTGAAAACTTTATAATCAAATGTATAGCCAAATTGTACATGCTAGCACTAACCCTAAATTTTCTCCAGATCAGTTGGGTGTGCAGGCTTTGAGCACACTCAGAAGCCTTTCAGCAATTCAAGGGCTTATTTCTAGGAAAGAGTAAGAGTGGTTCTGGCATTAGATCACCCCTGGATAAACTACTTATTCGTTGAGTCAAACTGGATTGCATTTCCCACACTAAGTCCCTGGGCGAAGTCAAGAGAGGAAGGAAAATATGTATTAGCATATGCAGAATTTAGAAATGCTTCCTGCCCACATCTTTCAGGGGTTATATTCACAGCAAACCCCTAAGATTCTATTAACGCACCAATTAATAAAACACTAGTGAGCAGGTTGCCTACAGAGTGGGCTACATACACATGCTTATTTATGGCGGACACATCACTCATCGTCCCTGAATGCAGAACTTTTGAGTGCAGAGCTGCAACTCTCTGGCTGCGTATGAAGGTGGCTGCAGTAGGGAGTCTGTTTATCTGGGGAATGTGATGCTGGCTGACTTACAATGAAAGGAACATGAAAAGAAGTAGTGGATGCCCTTTCCCACAATCCGATAAACTGTTACACAGAGATAAACAGTTGCCTTGGATTAAGCGTGCTTGTCTATTTTTCAATGTTAATTTTTAATTTCCTGTGCGTTCAATTTCTTAGGGCTTCATTTTAAATAACACTAAGTAATTTTAAATTATGCATGCCCCTACGGTCTTAATCATTTCAAATTCTGCTTTAAGGAAAAGGTAAATAAGAAAATATTAAGACTGCATTTAAACATTACTGTAACTGATTTTTAATTGGTAATTCTCTAAGACTGCATTAAGTGCTACTTAAAGATGCCCTGTCAGAGAGCTTAAGGAAAACTATTTTACATGACGCTGTTAGTCAACTTGTTTTTAAGTTCTGTATATCTAATTTTTAAACGTACATAATATATGTAATATGTCATGAATTGCTTTTTGAATCAAGCACTTAACAATTACCATGTTAAAGGTAATTGTAAACTTATTGTGAAGATTTTCACACGTGGTGGAGATAGTTGGAAGAAACAGAGATGAGTACGTTTCCATCACTCTCAGTATAAAAATATCCAAACATTTAAATTATTTGACAGCAGGCATAATGTTCATTTGTTTACAATTAAAGTTTCTATCCTAGGTATCCAGCTCATGGCCCAGCACACACAAAGTAGGTGTTCAATAAATATTTGATGAGTGAATGCGTGTCTGAAGCTCTGAAATAGGAAAATAGGCATGTTCCTTATTTAGTGTTCTCCCGACCGAAAACTGAAGTAAATGTAGGTCAACTTGAGGCCACATTTTTCTTCGCTTCTCACAGACCCGCCTCAGCTACAACTTTCAGATTCAAAGGCAGCATTCTCTCCTGCATGTATAAAAAGTACTACCTGCTGGCAGTCCTACCATCAAAGAGCATAATAGGGGAAGATCATTTGGGATGATTAGGTGGGTAATAAAATAAAACAACTGATTTCTGTACTTTAATTCCCACTTGCTATGCCACAAATAAAATAGTAAAGAGTCATTTGCAAACAGCATTATCATGGATCTGTGGATTCCTTCAAGAAATATTTATTGAATATCTTCTGGATTGCAGATACTGTGCCAGGCCCTGGATACACAAAGATAAATAAAACACAGCCTCTACCTGTGAGACAGATAGACTGACACATACTACTACCTTCAGCATAATGTGATGTTTCATTTGAAGTCTTCTTTGGCTAAGAGCATCCTCTTAAGCGAGAATTAAGCTTTCCATAGACTGCACGGTCATCTTTACTCTTTGTGTAGTCAAACTTCCTTCATATTCAAGAGATAGCTACATTTTTTATAGATAGATGGTTAAGACTGTGTTGATGACCTTCTTTTAATTAACTATTCTCTTTTATTAGGCACATAAAACAATTATTTTATGAGGCAATTTCAGCTTCTTTATCATTAGCGATAATGATCGCAGTGTCTTTTACCTTCCATGGCAGTTTTGCTTCAAAGGGAATTGCACATAAAAATCAAAGAGAGACCAGAAACTGATATGAGACAAACAAAAAAAATTCTACTACAGTATCAACCTCTTTAAAAATTATTATTATTAGATTTTCTGGTGCCCTGTGGCAGATATCCCAGAGAGGCTCTAGGTTAACACCGAGCATTCCAATCACTGCCTCTCTGAGTGCTGAGGTTCACACCTACATGAACAAAACCAAACCCAGATGATTTGTGTGTGTCAAGAAAACAGCCCTTCACTTGCCCCATGAAAAAGGAACAGAAAGCATGTGGAAAGCCAGGTTTGAAAGGGCACTGCTAACAGGAGAAGGGAGAAATGTCAAAAATGTTGAAGTAAACACTGAACTAGTTCCTGTCTGTATATTTTTGCTGAGTTTTGTTTTTTCCTTCAAACCTTACAAATCCTAAAAGTTGTGCCATTTCATTTATCCCTAATGAGCAGACAAGGAAACAAATAGCAACTGTAATCACAAAACATTTCTTGAATTAGCTACAGCAGGAATATTAAGCAAGAAGTAAACAACTTGACTGGGGAAGGAAGATAGGAAAAAACCCTTGGCCCTTCCCGGTACTGACTGTAAGGTCTTAGATGCTAAGTGGGCGCTTACCAGACAAATGGTGTAGAAGGGCATTCCCAGGAAGTCGATGGGCACGGTGAACAGAAAGACTGGAGAGCTTGCCAGGTTCAAGATCACGGAGCATGCCAAGACCAAGCCCATCCTTCAACCTAGAGGCAAGGGGAAGTCAGTATAGATTTACAGGAGATGGGCACTGTGAACAGCAATTAAGATTATACATCAGATAGAGCACTTCCTCCAATGGAGCACCATTCAGATCGCTAACATTTCCTAGTACACCTGAGAGCACACCAGTGGTGTGCCTTTCAGGCATCCTGATTGAGCCGGGGAGCAGCCAGGAGAGACCCCCCCTCCTTCCATAACACCTCACCAATACCCAATCATGCACAGAAGTGGGAGAGCAGAAAGGCACACATGACCACACACACGAGAGCATGCAACTGTGCCCTGTCAGGAGACCGCTCCAGGAGTCCCTGCGCTACCGTCTCTCACCTGACTCTGAATGGAATAAGCTTACGTCACCTAGGGGCCAAGGGGGTGGTCAAACAGAGTGACTGTGCTGACCGATGTTTGCTCTACTGCCAGGGAGCCGGGTGTCAAGAGTACAACACTAGGTCCATTGGTTCCTGTGCGCATGCAACCAGACAGCTCCGCACCAGCATTTTAGAAAGTTCCCTGGAAAGACCCCAGGGGAGAAAAACATGATCCCCCCGGAGGGCTTTGCCTGACTCCTAAAAGATGCACATGTTCGAGCCTATCATGTAAAAAGAAGCTTGATTTATGAAACTGTCCTGAGCTCCAACGTCCTGTGCAAACCCCAGAACTCATGCTTACCATGCTCCCTGAAATGTGAGGCCCATGTCAGGAGCTGCCTAACCCCAGCTGGAAGAGACAGCCACCAGGCATCCCACCTTCTCCATCACTGATGTTACAACTATGTTACAGGTTATGCAGTAACAAATTTTAGAATTTTGCACTCGAGGAATGTTATCTTTCCCTAACTCACAAAATGGTGCTTTGGGGGCTGGCATCAGCTCCCTAGGAATCTATTGCTATGGTCCTGCTAGAGATAACGAGAGCCTGGCTTCGTGGGTAAAAAAAAAAAAAACAAAAAAGAAGGTGGCTTTGAAAGATGTTCAGCAGGTAGACTCTACAGAACTTTGGGGCTGATGGGAAGAAAATAGGAAAGGTGGAAATGGGAAGGGCTCTTCTGTGCAGGTTTCTGGCTCGAGAGCCTGGGTACAGAGAAGAATCATTCACAGAGATAAGGGGGAGTTTATAACAGGTAGACCCTGAGGGGTCAGAGGGATGTGTCCCTTGAGCTGTTTAGCAGGCAATTAACCTAGGAATCAGTTAAGTGGTCGTTGAAACTGTGAACACTAATTAAGGTAGCCCAGGACTGCGGTGGGGCGGGGAATCTGAGATGTAGTCAGACATGCAGCATGAGAACAGAAGCCTAGGAAGTCGGACCACGGAGAGAAGAGTCAAGATTTCAATTAAGGTCAAGTCAAATGAGGATTACAAAGGGTTAAAGGAATTAGAAACTAGGAGATCAGTAGTTGCTTTCTCCAAAACCATTTTGTTAGAACAGTGGGGGCAGAGCCTTGGCTGCAGTGACTGAGAGCATCTGGGGTGACAGCAAGTGGGGACAATACTGCGGACAATCCTTGTGAAGACGTCAGCTATGAAGGGAGGACAGGGCTGTGGCAGCAGAGATGCAGACAGAGGGACAGAGTTACCATTGTGTTCTGTTTTATTTCCAAATGGAAAGGGAAGAGTGGGTAAGAAGGAGTTGTTTACAGTTGAAAGACAAGGAATAAAGACTCATAGCCAAGTTGCTGCCCTACCAATAGCAAAGTAAATGACTCAGAAGAGGGAGTGAAGTGAACTTAGCATTAGAAAACCCAGGGTCTGAACACTAACTCCCTTCTAAGTACACATTGTCAGGTCACTTTATCTCATTAGTCCTCAGTGCCCATTTCTGGGAGGTGGGACCACTAAGAGCTACATCACAGTGTGTTGTAAGGACTGGGCGAGAATACTTGCTGGGAGCGTGCCTGGTGCAATGGTCCATGTGTGTTTAGCAGATGGTAATTTGAGTCATTATCCCACCAAAGGTCTGAATGGAGACCATCAATGTAATAATCACTGTTGCTTTCTTTACCATTGTTGTTCATTTAATTTTTATCATCTCTTTAGGAACTTGCTGACAGCCTCCGCTAGCCTGTTCCTCGCTTATATGAAGGACAGAACAAAGATCCAGTTTGGAAATGAGAGAGGAGGACTAACGCGCAGCATTGGTTCCACCCACTGATATCTCCCAGAGGTACAGATACGGGATTCATGAAGATGTTGACAAGACTCCAAGTTCTTACCTTAGCTTTGTTTTCAAAGGGACTTTTACTTTCTTTAGGGGACCATAACTTTCTGAGGAGGGAGATTAAAATAGAAGGTGACCTCGTTTTAGGGGGCCTATTTCCTATTAAAGAAAAAGGCACTGGAACTGAAGAATGTGGGCGAATCAATGAAGATCGAGGGATCCAACGCCTGGAAGCCATGTTGTTTGCTATTGATGAAATTAACAAAGACAATTACTTGCTCCCAGGAGTGAAGCTGGGGGTTCACATTTTGGATACATGCTCGAGGGATACCTATGCATTAGAGCAATCACTGGAATTTGTCAGGGCTTCTTTGACAAAAGTGGATGAAGCCGAGTATATGTGTCCTGATGGATCCTATGCCATTCAAGAAAATATCCCACTGTTCATTGCAGGGGTCATTGGCGGCTCTTACAGCAGTGTTTCCATACAGGTAAGATTGGCAGTGCTGCTGGTAAAACACTGTACCTCTTTGGTTTTATGTCTTGGGAGAACAAGAGGAGAATATCCTAAGAGCTTCATCAATGGATGATATTAGCCATGCAATTGTTCATTGCGATGGGTCTTTGATAATATAGGTTTGCAGACAGAACAGTACTTTAGCAATGAAAATTGTTTAGAGATATATCAGGTAGCTACTGTAGCATAAAAAGCTACCCCAAAATTCAGTGACTTAAAACAACAATTACTGCTTATTATAGTTTATAAGTCTGAAGACTGGCTGGAGTGAGATGATGAAGGCTAATAGGTTCAGCTGCAGGTCGCTCTGCTCCCGGTTTGTCCCTTATCCTCCACCTGGAATCAGTGAGCGAGCCCGGGCATGTTTTTCTCAGAGTGGTGACAGAGATGCAAGAGAATGCAAATTTAACTGTACAGTACAGGCCCCTCCCAAGCTTCTGCATGCCTCGCAGCTGTGAACATCCCTCCAGGCAGAGCAACTCACAAGGCTCTGCCCAGAATCAAGGAGCAGGGGAATATGTGCTTACCCACAATACACGTGCCGCTAAGTTACATCACAAAGGATGTGGATACACGGCAGAGTCATGATTGGAAGTCATCAATACAATCAAGCACAAGAAAGTACAAAATCGCTGAGCTTTATACTTTTCCACACTAATTTTTCCCCAAGCATTGTTTTATTCAGAGATAAATTATAAACAATTTCTCGTGGTATAAACCTGAAAATGTATGCACAGAAGCCAGATAATTACTACCAAAGGAGAAAAAAACAGGGAACAATTTAGCACATAACTTAAACTAGATAAAAAGTTGAAAATTGGTTCTCATCATTTTGTTAGGGAAAGAAGGAACGTATTAGTCAAACTCTTGCAATGCTCACAGGGTCACAGAAGTAGAGGTGGAAAAGAGCGGAGAATTCATCTTCCTCAAACTTCCCAAGACCCAGAAATATTGGTTTCAGGAAAACTCCCACTGGTAGGTAGCACATGAATTAGAACTCAGATCTTTTGTGCTTTGGGGCTCTTTCAACTGTCCTATGTGATTTCTTTATGTCACTTCAATATTTTCCTGGTGAATGCGGCAGTAATAAAAGTCCGTAAGATAAGAGTCACATATTGAACACTCTGCCTCCTACCAAATGACTATAATCAAAGCCCCAAGCGCTAAAGGAAGTCATAATACACACACGTTGTCTGTATCTGTCGCCAACCACTTAAATTGGTTCTATTTGCACTGGAGTAACCTTATTTCTATATCAGAGATTCGTGGCATTTAAAATTCTACCTGCAATTCTGTGCTGTTCTAAATGACTACTGCAAATTTCTTTCCTTCTACAGTGTACACACTCATATTATGAGGAATTAGGATAATTGGTTTTTCATAAACACCCTTTGACTTCATTAGATGGATAGAAAATACTGCACATCTCAAAGCATATCATGTTAATTTTGCCACTGTTTCTATACTTGGATCAGGTAAGATGGAACTTGCTATTTAAGAAGAGAGAACTAAAATAATGTATATCTGTCATACTTCAATAATACTTTCACCAGATGAGTGCCAAACATTTTATAAATATTTATATTATACTCAATATTACCACTAGTAAAGGATTACAAGTATGTCTTTCTGACCTTAGTTTCTCCCAATGCAGTAAATAGCACTCCACAGCAGATGTGTAAATATCTATTTATCCAAAATAATTAACAAACTATGCTAATATAGTTTTAATCTAATTTTACTTTTTTATTACCTATAAACTCCTCAAAAGAGGTCAGGTTATCTTAAAAAAAAAAAGTAGGTTATTAAAACCCTGCACTTGTTCACAAGGGAAAAAGCCACTTCTTAATCATCAAAGGACCTGGCTAATATATTATTTCACTTATCTGGTCCATATCACTATAAAGTCACAAATGCTGATATGGTTTTTGTCTCCACAATATAAATAAAGAAACCAAAACTATCATGCTATACGGAAAAGGTTCTGGCATCAGCAAGACTGGGGTTTGAATTCCAACCCTGGCATTTACTAGATTACCTGTAAAATAAGGAAAAACCATCCACTTTAAGAAGTTGTCGAAAGGATACACTGAGAGAATCCGTGGGAAATGCCTTACCAAAAAACTAACAGATTCAATAAACAGTAACTATTATGGCCCTAAAATCATAGGAAAAAGCAGCGGAAGAGCCACATCTAACAACAACTCCGTGGCCAAGCAGCCCCATGAAATCGTTGCTGGTTCCCCGTGGGCTTCATCCATCAGTTAATCTGTACAAAGCTCCTTGTGTATGTCCTGCCCTGTTGCAGGGGTTAGAGAGACCCCTGAAGTCGTAGAGAACACAGCCTTGACCTCGAGGAATGTGAATTCTGGCTGTGGGTACAGTACTATCATGAAATAACAGTGACTACAATTCACAATACATTCGTGGGGCTCACAAAGTAAGAAATGACCTTTAGGAAGGTTTTGAGGATGACTGAGAGAATGAAAGTTGCACTAGAGGAAAGCTAATTGAGCCACAGTGTTAATGAAAGGCTGGATCTGAGGAAACCCATCAGAAAGATATGGCAGATGTCTGTGCGCAAGAGGACAAAGACCTTGACAGGAGTAAGGGGATGAACTAGAGAAGAAAGGAGAGAGAGGGCTTCACTCCCCGCTCCATTGTCCTCAGGCGCTCAGGCTCTGATTAGACCTCACGCTGGTGCCCTCGGCCAAAGTAAGCAGGGAGGTGGAGCCATCTGTCTACACACTGATCTCCAGGCAGCCTTCCAAGGAACCCTTCGCCACAGGGCCTTGCTTCCAGCTAAGCACCATGAACGAAGAGGTCTTAGGGGCTCTTATATAGCTGAGAATTTAAGAGTGTTATCCTTGTGAAACACATGTCTTTTAATAAGAATCCTAAAAAAAAAAAAAGAATAGTCAACCGCAATCCAAAGCAATAGATTCCTAACGGTGATTTTAAGACACTCTTGTACACAAGTGAGAGATATTTTCAAAGAGAGGATTTTTCTGGGGGCCCCTCACACTCACGTACTTTTGTTCCTGGACTGATTCTGATCCTGTGCCCTGGTGTCTGGTAACCGTGGTGACAGTGTACAGCTGGTAGCCACAAAGATCCACGCCCACCAGTCACCTCTGCCATCCATTTTAAACTGCTTTGGACTTCCTAAATATTTACTGGAAAACGCCTGTGCTTGAACTAAGCTGGGGGAAGAAAAGAGGGTTAAACTGTAGAAAAAATCTCCTAGTACGAAATCCACCACACAATTTCAAAGATTCCACTCATCTAATTGTTGCATCAAGTCCCAAACCACAGCACAGAGTTTTCAGTCACAAAATTGTCTCTTGAGAGACAGAGTGATCAAGAATGATAAAATCTGTGCATCTTCTCTTTTGTGGTTGGCTCAGTTTAGACGTTATCATCTCCCCATTGGGCCCGAATAGCTTTATTGGTGGGAATGCTTCAGCAGGCACTTTTCTCTCCCGTTTCTGCTTCTCTCATTGTCTTCCTACTAAGGAAGAATCCTCCTAGAAGTCAGCAGAGGAGATATCCTCTGCTGTATCAGTTCATACAACAGGCAGTTTGCAGACAGCGAAAACTGCGTGAAAGGAGAAATTCTTAATGATTTGCTGAGTTAACCTGTATCACCATTGATGAAAACCGGGACATTTTCCCAACACTGTTATTAAGTAAGACAAACCACTCTGTGGTGGTCCCTTGTCTAAAGCAACGGGACTGATTTTTAAATTTGGTAATCAAAAAACACTAGCATCAAAATCCTTCTTTATTAGCAAATATACGTGGGGTCTATTCACCCCCTCTGGTGAATAAGCTTCTTTTCAAAGCATTTTTAAGACTGTATTCTGCTCTCTTCTATAAGCCTGCAATCCACCCACTTGGGGGAAAGTAGTATTTATTCAGGAAGAGAATCAGGCTGGTTGCCTTTAGTGATGCAATTGTCTACATGGTACTATTTTGAAGCAGTGTTTATGCTTGTGTTCTTGCAAATAGACTGTGGTTAGAGCTCCTAAGTTGTTCAGTCAAAACAAAAAAAATGTCTCTTGAGATGTTCCCCCAAATGTTCCTCACTCCTTTCAGAGGATGTATATTTCCTCAGTCTTTCTTGCCTTACCAAAGCAAAGTTCAGCTGCAACAAGAGGACAGGCATTAATTGACCCAGTTATTGTTGCGTCCCTGAGCGTTAAAGTGACCTCAGCGACAAAAGGGTATTTGGGCTAGATAGCTCATAAAAAGGGCAGAAGAGAGCCTTGAAAGGATCTTACTACCTCTTTCGCATGCTTGGGAAACAGACCCTTTTTCAGAATTTTTAGCAATAGCCACATCCCAGGAACTCCTGACCCTGGGAGGTGGCCATTATATCATTTATCATGACATGGATTTGCACATGCCACGCATTGCTCACATCATGTCTCTGAGAAGAATAACTCAAACTAAATCCCTTGCAGTAAGTTTCCCAGATTTTATCTACATGGGGTGCAAAGAACGACCCAAAAAGATACTCACCACTCTATTATTCCTCCTCCACCTAATTCCACAGTGTGAAAGTGGACCTGTACTGGTCAATTTGTATTAAACGTCGCCCTCCCTCAATGATTCATTCCTCCTTTAAATTCAAAGGCTGTGGGGAAGAGTCACACGTGAATTGTTGTTGTTATTATAGGAGCGTCAGAAAAAGAGTTGAAGGACTCGGGGTTACAAAAGGCTTCATACGGTTAGCTGTGTCCGAGTATCAGATAGACTACAGAGGGCAAAATAATGCTTTTTCTGTGGATAAATAAATTTAACCTAGAGCAGAGTGTCTCAACGTTGTCACTACTGGGCTGGATACTCCTGTTGCGTGGAGCTGCCCTGTGCATTGCAGGATGTTTAGCAGCTTCACTGGTCCCTCCCCACTGGACTACATGCCAACAGCACCCTAAATTGTGACATCCCATAATGTTCCTATACACTGCC